TTAAAAAAAAAAAAAAAAAGACTTCCATTTTAGAGCTGCAGGGTTAGAGTGCCTTAGTTCAGTAACATGTAGATGGAGACAAGCTCAGAGTCATAAAGTATTTGGAAAGTGATTTCAGAAGCCATAAGGGACTTTTAGAAAAGGCAAATAATATTGGGGCCAGCAAGTGGCATGGTAGTTGGGGTACTGGGCTCCTACATGGCTGACCATGGTTCAAATCCTTGCTTTTTCACTTTCCCCTCTCTCTGTCTCTGGTTAAACTAAAGAATAATAATGATAATAAATAAAATACATAATTCTTTAAAAACAAGAAAGAAAAGACAGTATCAACCAAAGACAGAATTTTATGAACTGCTTAAAGTTAGATCAGGCTAATTGTGAGCTAGTTGGGGAGTAACCCTACTTCTATTTTGTGTCCATATATTGGGTTGTCAGAAAAGTCATGACACATTTTTGCATAAAAAAATACTCCATGACTTTCCCAACAACCCAATATTGCTAGGTAGTTACTTTATTTTCTTCTTTTTTTGTTTTATGTTCTATGTCTAGAAGTACTCAAGAGTATAAAACTTAAGAGGGCATTAGAAGTACTGTGAGGAGCATAAAATATAGTCAAAGCAGGCCAACCCCATAGCCTACTGGTTTAGGGAGCTGGATCTCACATGGAGGCCCATGCTCATTAGAATCTTGTCCCAGCAGCTTGAAAAGCATGCCAGGTGCATTTGTGCTCATGTGCCCCAAATCCTAACTGGATGGAGAAATGGTGAAGGAATTGCAGTGTGACTACACTCCTTTGGGAGTCCTTTTGGTAGTCCTCTCCTCCTCTGGTGGGTGCACGTATTCTCTGGCAATTAAAAAAAAAAGAAAAAAAATCAACATTTTTAGACTTAAGGTTCTGTTCATAGCCTTGCTTCTATCTCTCTTTTATTTATATATATTGTATATATATATGTGTGTGTGTACTCTTTTTTTTTTTTCTTTTTAGGTTTTTGCCATAGGACACAGGTGTTCATCAGAGAGACAGTGAGAGGGAAAGTGAGAAATCATCCTCCCAGGGGAAATGGTCACTCTGCAATCCCTTCTCCTTCAATTTCCTCCTGGGATTTTGGCCACAAACACACGTGCCTGGCATGATTTTCAAGCTGCCAGGTTGGGGACTCAAACTGCAGTCAGCCATGTGGATGTCCTTGCCTTAACATCATGCCACCTGCTGGCCTCTCCTATTTTATATGCAACTTACCACCTACTGTAAAAGCTTTACAATTACTAATGACTTTTTAAGTATTTCTTTCTTTTTTTTAAAAGAATTACTTATTTGATTCCATTTGTTATTTTTCACTTTGACCAGAGAGAGAGAGAGAAAGGGAAAGTGAGAAAGCTAGCCACCAGTGTGGGACTCAAACCATGGTCTGCCATGGTGGCTGCTATCTGCTGGCCCCATGCTGATCATTTTTTTAAACTTAGAAAAATGAATATGTTTCTTTTTTCTTTTAAAAAAATAAGTATATTTCTAATTACCTCTGATATTCCCTCTCCAGACTAACATCACACTATAAAAAATGTTTTCACTAATGACATACTTTTTTTTTTTCTTTAAGGTTTCTGCCATAGGGTGTATGTACTCACTGGAGAGAGTCAGAGAGGGGAAGTTAGAAATCACCCTGCTAGAGGGGATGGCTACACCACAATCTCTTTTCCATTCTCTTGGGATTTGGAGCACACAACACATGTTCCTGGAGTGATTTCCAAGCTGCCGGGCCCAAGAATCAAACCATGGTTGGCTGTGTTGGAGTTTAGCAACTTAAGCACCATGCCAACTTCTGGCCCCATGACACCAATATTTTATCTATTTCTTTAAACATTTTTTTTTTTATTTGTTAGGATTTTCAGACCACCAGGTCCAGAACTTGAACTGTGGTCAGCCATGTAGGAGTCCACAACCACCACGCCACCTTCTGGTCCTAACAGCAACTTTTGTTTTTTTCTTTTAAGAGATTTTTGCTATAGAGTGTATGTGCTTGCTGGAGAGACAGAGAAAGAGAGAGAGACAGAAAGAAGAAGAAATCACCCACCCCCCGACCTGGAGGATAGTCAATCCCTTCTCCATTCTCCTCTCAGGATCTTGGGCAAGCACACACATGCCTGGTGTGAGTTTTAAGCCACCGGGTCCAGGACTGGCACCATGGTTGACTACATGGGAGTCTAGCGACATACTATTAAACCATGTGCTGGCCCTCAACTTTATTTATTTATTTTAAGGATTATTGGGAGGAACTAGTGGATGGTGTAGCAGTTATGTTGCTGGACTCCCACATGGTTGACCACATTTAGTGTTCCAGACCTGGTGGCTTGGAACTCAGGCAGGCGTGCATGTGTGTGCGCATGTGTGTCTGTGTGCCCAAGATCTCAGGAGAATGGAAAAGTGATTGCCATATGACCATCCTCCCTGGGAAGTGATTTCTCACTTTCTCACTGTTTCTCTCACCCCTGTGAGAGCATGTGCTCTAAGGCAAAACCTCTACAAAAAAAACCCCAAACATTCATTTATTTTGGGCTGGCAAGTGGCATAGTGGTTGGCGTGCTGGACTCCCACATGGCTGACTGGATTGAGTCCCGGATATTGCAGATCACTTTTACTTTCCCTTTCTTTGTCTCTAGTCAAATTAATAATCATATAATTAAATAAGTAATTATTTTAAAAAAATCGTTCAGAGGCTTTGAGCCATTTTTTAAAAATATAATTATTATCATCTCCTCCACTTTTCAGGATTTTGGGTACCCATGTTCAAGACCCTGGTGTGTTTTTCAAGTCACCAAGTCTAGGATGTGAACCATAAAGTTGGCCATGTGGGATCCAGCCACCATTAACCACTGCACCACTGGCTGGCTCTGGAACAGTATTTTTTTGGGTACATAAAACTATAGTCAGACTAACTTTTGGTAGTTAAATTTCTAATATTTGAGGATTTAAAGATTAAATCTTAAATCTGACTACAGTGTATTATCATTCTGGAGACTGAAATCGTAGATCCTTCTTGGCCTCTTT